CATCGATTCAGCAGCGCAAATTTGTATAAAATGGGATTAAAAACATGTATTATTTAACATATTTAATTATTGCAGCTTTGCGTCATATTCTGAGTTGCTTGTAACTGTTTTAATTCATTTTGAGGAAAACTAAATCTTTAATTTATTTATTTTTTAATTTTTTAAATAATTTTTTTAATAATTAATTAATTTATTAATTTATTTATTTTTTTGTGAGTGCGATGAATTAAAGCATGTTCACATTTATTCTAGAACTAAAGTAACATCTTACTCCCGATTTCTCTCAACATGGGGACAGGAGAGATTCAATCAATAAATGGGGAAAAAAGAAGCTGGCGTTACTTATTTGAAAAAGTAACTCGGATATTTTCTTGTAAATTAAAAAGTAATGCGTTACTTTACTAGTTACTTGAAAAAAGTAATCTGATTACGTAACTCGCGTTACTTGTAATGCGTTACCCCCAACACTGGTTATGTGTTCATGTAATTTTCATTATGTTTTATTATGTCCAGTTGTGTGTGAGATATAGGCTGCATTAATGATATTTCAGCTTACACGAGTGGCACACAGTTTACTGATAAGTTTGTGGTTGCTATCGCTGTTTGTTCAGAGGCAAAAGCGTGAGGCGCGGGTGATTGACGGGTGGAAAGCCCGCCCTCTTCTCAGAGCCCAGCGCACTTGCAGCGTTGCGTGAACCGACTCTGCTGCGAGGAGAGCGTTTCCAACACAGAACTTTCTTGTAAGTGAACTTCTCTTATTCTCAGAGGACACACAGAAGCAGATCTTCATAAAATACTTATTGCATGTGCAAAATTATATTTTCAGCTCTCGTTTAACTGTTTCTATTGATCCTTATCTCACTTCTTGCCCTTCGAAGCGGACGCTCACCGGATTCTCAAATGAATAGGTTTGAAGCCATTAACAGAGGCTTACCGTGAAGACGCCGAGGATACATTACCTGCGTTTTCCTCAAAGCTTTGCAAAATGAAGCTTTGGTAAGTACATTTATATCTAGAGATGTCATTTTATTACGCTTGGTTACAAATTCAGGCACTTGGACGTTAAATAGTGAACTGTCAGTTTTAGTCACCGAGTTAAATAATGCGCTTTATTTCGTTAGAGCACATATGATGGTTTTGTTCATCTCCCTTCACAGGAGTTTTGTGTTACCAGTTGTCTTGTATGCAGTGTCTGCTCAAGGGGTAAGTCTTCTTTCATTATTAAAACACATAACAGTACTTAGTCGCAAATAAGTTGGATCATTTGTTTTTTAACTGATACTTTAAGTTGTACTTAATGTTGCTCATCATGTTTGGGTTAACTTTTACAAACACATTTGAATGTTTTTATAAGACACAATCACTTGACAAATTGCAACCTATGAAGTTTTGTGTAAAATATTTGTGTGCCTTTTAAATGGTTAGTTACTGTTAACAAATCATTCTGCGCTTTATTTCGTTAGAGCACATATGATGGTTTTGTTCATCTCCCTTCACAGGAGTTTTGTGTTACCAGTTGTCTTGTATGCAGTGTCTGCTCAAGGGGTAAGTCTTCTTTCATTATTAAAACACATAACAGTACTTAGTCGCAAATAAGTTGGATCATTTGTTTTTTAACTGATACTTTAAGTTGTACTTAATGTTGCTCATCATGTTTGGGTTAACTTTTACAAACACATTTGAATGTTTTTATAAGACAATCACTTGACAAATTGCAACCTATGAAGTTTTGTGTAAAATATTTGTGTGCCTTTTAAATGGTTAGTTACTGTTAACAAATCATTAGTTTTTATGTGTAATTTCTTGTTTGATGATTTGCGAAGTATCTCAGTCCTCTCATCACAAAACTGACAAAACACTCCTCCTTCTAATTAATATGCAAAGTACCCTGTTTCTCTGCCACACCTATCTACCCTGTTACTACACTCTAAAAAATTATGGGTTGTTTCAACCCAATGTTGGGTCAAATATGGACTAACCCAACTGTTGGGTTAAATTTTGGTTACATTTTTAAATTAGCTTTTTAACCCAACAGTTGGGTTAGTCCATATTTG